GTGTGTGTGTGTGTGTGTGTGTGTGTGTGTGTGTGTGTGTGTGTGTATAAAACTGTGTTTTCAGTACAAGTTAGAATAAAGCTCAGTATTTTTGGGGCACTTTAATTTTTAGAAAGGGTTGCTCAGGCAAGAAGAAACTCTGGATTAATACATATATAGTTTAGTAATTCCCCACAGAAATCCAAACAGCACTAAGAGGACTAAAGAAAATCAGTTGATTTTCTTGTTTTTCTTTTTCCCTCAGGGGGCGTATAAGTCTTCGACCATCTGCTACAGCCCAGAGAAAGGAACATGGACAGAGTTGGAAGGAGAGGTGGCAGAGCCTCTAGCGGGCCCAGCCTGCTCCACCGTCATACTGCCCGCCTGCCTGCCTTTTAACAAATGACAACTAATCCAGCCGACGGGTGTCGAGGGTGATGGGCAGCAGAGTGATTGGGGGGAGGACCATCAATAAGCAAAACAGTTGTCAACAATTTCATGACAGATTTTCCAGTCATACGCTGGGGGTGTGTATAAATTATTTTTTTACAAGTTTGACCAGAGCACTTTCGTTATTCTCTCTACTGAAGGATCGAAGAAAAAAAAAAAAAAAAAAGGTAATTGTGTGAGTCATGTATTTAAACTCATCTGTGTTCTGAGAAATGGTTGGTTCCATATTCGATTTTTTTTATTTAAGCGGATAGTAAGTGTTTTTGGCTTCTCTTCTATAGCACGCATAGTGTTGAGCTGAATTATAGCTTTCAAATCCATTGTATCTTGTATTCAGTAGCGGCATAACTCCAGCTAAATGCAGTGTTGTTTCAAATTACATCGGGACATGAAGTTACACTAGGACTGGGTGAGTAACATGACCTGTGATGATCAAAATGTATAAATAGTCTTCATCCGTTATGTTATTGCTCATTGTTCTATGGCTGGGTACGCTCACTTATTACCTGGTTAGAGAATTATACAACAGTTTTGTTGTCTGTCTCTGAAAATGAACATATTTGCGCAATCAAAAGGGGACATTTTCAGAAAACCCTAACAGCTGTCACTATTTAACTGTCACGGTATGTGCAGAAATGTTCAATTAGACATGGAATTAGACATGAAAGTAGATAAACAACCAGGAAGACACTTTAAAAAAGACACAAATATACTCATTGATCTTTTTGAGCATGTGTCCACATGACCCAGCCATATTTTTTGATCTTAAAGGGGGTCTATTATGTTTTTCCTTTTCCTCTATCATGTATATACTGTGAAAAAGGTGTTTTCCTTCATTAAACATGGTCAAAGTCTAAATAGTGTATGTGCAAATAATCCCCACAATCACTTTCAAACAGTTTTTCTACTTTTGGCTCTGTATGATGTCATAGAAAGTGGATTTTTTTCAATATGATCATCTCAGGCATGCATTTGAGCACCGAAGCCCCACCCACAAACCTTCTGCTTATGAGGAACAGCCAATCAAAAGGAAGTATGCTTAAAGAGCGTGGGAACTGGAGTTAAAACAGCAGAAGATTAAGTGAGGGGCATCATCAAGACCCAGTATAAGTTAAATAAGGTTTTTTTTTTTTAAACTATAAATCACACAAAGCTGTGCAGGACTCAAAATTTGACGCTGGAAATGAACATAACAGATCCCCTTTAATGATTTAACTTGTTGAACGACGCAAAACTCTAACCAATGTCATGCTGCAGGCAAGACAATTTAAGGATCATTATTGATTCCTAATATTCACATGAATAACTTATAATTAACTAATGTTAATTAAACAATGATGGTACAATCAAATTGTAACTACTAGCCAACGTGTTTCTGGGTAGCACATTGGGCTAAACTGATGCAGAGGACACTTGTGTAGCTTGTTCTCCTGTACAGCTTAATTTTAACAGGCCTGTTTGTGAGGCCACATAGCATTACCTTGATGAGATTTTAATCTTTAATGTATAAAAGACTAAATTAAACAAACATACAGTGGGCTTTAATGCACTAATAGTGAACTTTTATTTCAGCAAAGTTCACTAAAATGTAAAATGTAAATTACTGAATGTGCTGTGTTTAAAAAAGTATCTTCAGTACAAATGAAGTCCAGTCTTGTCTACGTTATGAGGTTCAAAAACCTGACTCTAATTATTGATGCAGTACCTGTTGAATTCTTTAAAGAAAAAATGAAAAAAGAAAAGAAACGTTGATTTCATTCTTGTAAATAATCGCCTGCAGTGAAACATTTTTGTGCACTCAACCTTGGATTTATTCTCAAATCCTGTTATGTCCTTTGCATTTTAGAATATGAAAATAAAATGACTCTTGATGATTAAAAATGTGTCTGAGTTTGTGACATTTGTTCAAGTCCAGCGACGAGATGTGAACAATCCCACAAGGGGAACTACCTTTAAACAGAAACGTTTCTCAAAATCACGTCACAAAAATCTGCTTAAAACTTTATTTAATAACAATAACTTTATTAGACACTCAAAGAAAAGCTAACCCATCAAAACGAACCCGATTCCTCCAGAGTTAAGGAGCTACAACCTCAAAACCACGATCACCTGTAGTTTTCAAATAGGAAAATTTTAAAATCAGATCAGAAATCTGAGAAGTCAGCTGCAGTGATCAGGTCTCAGTAGTTCTGCTGTATATATGTAGAAACCGGTCAATGTAGCATTTTATATATTATTAATAAAATCCTAAAATAAATTCAGAATTTCTCTAGAAGCCAGTGAAGGGCAGCAAGAATGGGAACGATGTGCAAGTGTCAGTAGTGAATACAAAGGGTGACCTGGTGCAAGGGTGGATTACAAAGTGGTTTGCATGGGTGCAGTCACTGTGGGCAGGTTAGAGCAACATAAATTGAAGCCCTACTGGATGCCTAGAAAGCCGAGGTGCTCTGACCTTTGAGGTCAGCCTGCCTGAACTAATGCTAAAGAAAAGAGGAGGAAAACAAAAACACCTTGATAAAGCAAAGGAAGGAACGTTTAGTAAATTAAGGGAATGCGGTCATCAGTTCATGAAGCTCAGGCATGCTTGGGTTATGCAGCAGGACAATGATCTGAAACAAGTCCACCTCTGAATGGCTCAAGAAGCAACACAATGACTGTTTTGGAGTGACTCAGTCAAACAGTGGACTCAAATCCTACTGAGATGCTTTGACCTGACCTTAAACAGGCCGTGATCGAACACACCAGTGTGGCTGAATTCAAACAATTCTCCAAAGAAGAGTGGGCCAAACACAATCACAGTCGCTTGATTGCAGTTCTTGCTTCCAATGGGGCGATAAAAAGCCCCATTATAGTTTACACAGGAATCTTTTTAATAGTTCAATTTGTGTTTATCATACCTGCACACTTTCCTTTATATTTATGTTCTAAAACATTCAAATTGAATTAATTATGGGTTTGAGTCACTTTTATAGAAAAATAAGTTAACCGAACTCATTGCCCCCAACTGTATCTGCCTTAAGGCCTCTGCTGCAGTAAATATTACTAGTCTAGGTTTGCTTGGTTCCCTGTAAAAATGTGAATGTGGGTGCTAGTGTTAAAGCACTCAGTAGAGGCACGAAAGCACAAATAAAAAGTAGTTTAAGTTTAAGCAGTGATTAGTGTGAAATTACAGTAAAATTAGATATAGTGCTTAGAGACAAATACCCACTCACCCCACCTACTGCATGAGTTGATTCCTGGAAAAAGCTGGAGGAGAAGTGGCTAATTTCCAGTAGGAATGATTTTTACTGATAGAAATACAAGTATAAATCTAAATCTGGGGTCGTGCTGACCCTACTCGGTCACTCGACGATTAAAGAGACGCCTGTTAAACCTCTCAGACTGACTGTTGTAGATAATACCAGTAAAGACTTGTCCTCATACTCTGAAACAAGCTCTTCCAACAAAAGGCGAGACTGTTAATACATTTAAGCTTTTGGCACCTTAGGATACCAAAAAAAAAAAAAAAAAAATCACACCCTGCAAGAATCTCCAAAACGTGAAGCAGCAAGCATACAAACCAAACCTGATGTTTACCCCGAGGGCGGCCTCTCATGCCAGACCAGATTTGATTTTCCAACCATTTATTACCAGCTGTCTCGTGCACAAAACGGCACGCATGTCTCCCTGCACATACACCTGATGTTTCCCGTTTCAATGGAGGCAGTTTGTCTGCTTGGCGTCTCCATTTCACGCATCCACTTGGCCACGTGCCCAGAGGATAAGACGGCAATTATTTCCTCACAGAGATGATTCTGTTAGATTACATAAATCCATGTCTAATTCTCTCAATATGGCGTCAGGACACTAGAAAATACTGAGCGTGCTCCATGTCAGAGTCCTTAGAGACATGTCTGACAACAACTACAAAGATACTGCAGTCTGTGAGCTCGTTCTTTGGCCACTGGTGGCTAGACATTATCGCTATCACTTGAGGAGACTTTGGGTAATGAAAGAATAGCAGAGTCTTGATTAAGACAAACACATGGAGTGGCGTCCAAGGAGGAAAATTAAGAGGTTTAGAGGGAGAAATGCAGCTTTAACTCTGAGTGTGTAGCATGCGTGGACTTGAAGTCTTCATTTACCCTTCAGTGTTGGTGGCAGCAGATGGTTTCTGCAGTGCTCTCAGTCCCACCGCTAACACTTCTCCTCCTCAGCGCAGGGAATACTGGGATTGCTTAAAATGAACATGGCTGACCTTTTAATTAACTACGTGGACCATCATGCTCTGTTTTAATTAAAGGGAGAGTATTATCTGTCCTCGGCTCTAGTTTAATAATTATACAGGAGCGTATACAGTAAAAGGGCTTATAAAAATACAACCTCAGATGATCAACACATGATTGCAGTATTTCATTATTCATTTAACAAAAATTAAGCCAGAAGCACCGTGTGAAAATCTTCAGCTCCAATAGGAATTAATAGGGTAAGTAGCAGTCACCTGCTGCTACACATATGCACTCAGTTAACTGATCATTAGGAAATGTGAGCACCTCTATAGAAGAAGTAGTTTGTCTGGAGCACGGGGGTGTTGATAGGTCAGTGCCAACGAGGAAAGCATCAGTAATGGTCTCAGAGAAAAAAAAAGTATGGCTGCCCTTCAATCTGGGATGGGTTATAAGGTCATTTCCAAACAATCTAGAGTCCATCAGTTTACAATGATGAAGATTATGCAGAAGACGATGCCAATACAACTGCTGATTTTCTCGGGAGTGGACGTCCCAGCAAATTCACCCCAAAGTCAGACAGGACAAAGCTCAGAGAAACTGCAAAAAACCCAAGAGCAGCATCTCACACTCCACAGACATCAGTTAGCATGTTAGATGTAAAAGTTCGTGACGGCACGATTAAAAAAGCCTGAACATGTTTGGCTTTTTTTAGAAGGTTTTCCAGGGGAAAACGTCTTCTGTCCAAAAAGCACATTGCAGCACGACTTAAGTTTGCAAGGTACATCTGAACAAGCCACAAGACTTGGTGGTGGTGGAAGGGGGATGATTTGGGCTAATTTTGGAGCCACAGGACATGGGTACCTTGTAGTCACTGAGTCAATACCTAATTATTCTAGAGCAAACTGTCCAACAGCTAAAGCTCGGCTAAAATTGGGTCATGCAGCAGGACAAAGATCCCAAACGCAGCAGCAAATCTACAAGAGAATGTGCAATGAAACCTCAATCCACTGAAGGAATGTTGTAAAGAAACATCTTCTACAATGATACAAGGGGCTAAAAGTTGCACAAAAGACAAAAGAAAAGGTGATTCTACAAGCTACTGAATCAAGGTGTGGACTTAGTTTTTCACATGCTGCTTCTGCAGTTTTGCACTATTATTGTTAAATAAATACTGACACAGTGCTACTTGTTATGTATTGTTGTTCATCTCAGGTTGTATTTGCCTAATTTTAAGAGCTTCTGAGGACCAGATTTTTTAAATATATATACGTTTATATCCTGATATGTAAAAACTCTGAATGAACAGAGGCTGAGATGAGTTTTAAGACACCAAACTGCAAAATTTGAAAGATAGCATCACGGTCAGTCAGACTGATGCTTAAACATTTGTATCTTTTCATTTAAGCACTATATATTCAGATCTTCTACCTCTGTGTCGCTACTGTTTTGAATGGATATAATTAAGTAATTTCACCATCAATCTATCCTCAGTATCTCATAATGATAAATTATTGTCTTTAAAAAAATGATAATCTTTCATTTACGAGACTATTCAGACTCTGCTGTGGTACTTCAGACTGCACCCTGTTTTCTTTAATTAAGATGTGGTCGAAACTCTGAGCCACCTGAGGCAAATTTTATTGGACATAGTTTAGAAAGCCACACTGTGTACATAAAGATCCCACGTTCCTGAAGGCACCGCCGGCACAAAAACTAAATCACAAAGTCTAAGAAATTCACTTATGGTGAGGCATCAATCAGGTCACGGGCAAAAAAAAGGTACTTCTAAAAGCATTCAGTGTCCTCAAGGGCACCGTGGCCTCGATAACTGAGATGGAGGAAGTTTTGAAGCACCTGGACCCTACAGAGAGAAGGCTTCAATCAGAGGAGGTGACCAAGAAAGCCCTTCTAACAGAGTTTGAGAAGTCTGCTGCACAGAGGAAAGTACCTGCTGGACAAAGACTCCATCGTCTCCATCAGCTTTTATGGTGGAGAAGATCGAGTCGAGTCGAGTTACAGAGAGTTACAGAGAGACAACAGCCGGCGTGGAGTCTGTCAAAAAGCAGCTCAAAGGGCGAAGAACAACAAATCTAATGAGTTAAAATGCTGATCAGCCTCCTGAACTAAGCACAATCAGTCAGTTCCAAACAATATCAATCAATGTCCTTAAACATTTGTTGTTTATATTAAATGCACCTTATCAGCATTTTTGAGCCATGATAACTGATGACTGATAGATGCAGCTACATTAAATTTTCATGGCTGAAAAACACATTAAAGCTCTTTTAAAAAGTGCACACAATTTAAAATTCACTCCAAATGTCAATCTAGACTAAAAAATGACATAGCTTAACATAAGTAAATCAGTCGTCTCCTATAAAACAAATCTATATCTCTATCTTTTCTCATGATTCAATTATTGAATTATGTTTCATATAATTCTGTACACACGTGAGTAACACTTTAGTAACACGTGTGCCTGTTTATGTCTGTCTGTAAGAAATCATCTTACTTCTATCGCATGATTAACGATTCAAAATATTGATTCGTGTTTTATGTGCCTATTTTTTCCCTGTGAAGTTTCCTGATTCTAATTTTTTACTTTAAACAAAACAAAACTTGCCCAGGGACTACAGATGGAAATTAGCTAGCAGCTAAATCTAGTACAAAGCATTGTTTCCCTTTGTGTGATTAATATTAAGAAATAAACAAAAAATAAACAAACAAACTCTTTCTAACTGAATTATCGTCAGAAAGGTATCAACTAATATATAATATTACTAATTACAATAATTGTGTGATTATCTAGCATTTGTTCATAAGCTTTGTATGCAACTAACCCAATTTGTGACTGA